TCATGTCCTGCTCCATGCATGGTCCTAAATCTCATGTCCTGCTCCATGCATGGTAGACATGTCAATTTACTGCAGCTTTTGAAACTACAAATCTTAAAGAAATTCAAACTGACGTCCGAGATGAAATCTCAAAATTCAACTTCAGCTGATATCTGCTTATTTTTTAAAGAATGAACAGAAATGTACGCATCATAACAGTAATTAATAATAACACAGTTATCAAAACCTTTAATAAAAAACTTGAAGGTTTAAACTTTGATTAAGTTTTAGTTTAAAACTGCAGTTCCCCTCCACACCAGTTGGTGGTGGTAGTTTATGCACGCTGTTATTACTAGAAGAAGAAGAAACTTAACATGTTACCCGGAAGTTATACTTCACAACAAAAAAATTGCCGGGAAATCTGCTCCGAGAAACCGAGTGAAGCAGCGGATGGACTTTTTACTTTAGTTGAAAGTGTGTTTGTCTCCAGACTTGTGTCAAACCACAGTGTCTCTCATCGCGTCTCTAACATGGACGAGTATGACGAACTGTTCGAGGTCCAGGATGATTTCGAGGATCAGTTCGCAGACGAGCTGGAGGTTCTGGCTCAGATGGAGGGTGAGTCCCCAACAGGCTGCTCCCATGTTTTTATCCACATCCTCAACAGTTTACGACAAATAACCGAGCAGATGTACATCTTAGTTATAAAATATAATATATACTTTATTTTCAAAACCATTCATTTAAGGTCACACGCGTTTTATTGCTGTTTCTGGTTGAATGTGTTTATGAGTCTTTACTCTGTGCAATAGAAATTATTGTTTTTTAATTAAATCAATCATTTTAATTATTGACTCATCTCATGATTAGATTTTCTAATAAATCCATAAAAGCATTAACACACTCATAAATATCAGTCCCTGGTATTTATGAGTCAGGTTTTTTTCATCAGGATCTCTGCATTATCTCTCTCAGTAGTTTGTGCATAATTCTGCTAAAAGACAAACAGCAATGGAAACATAACCTCCATGACAGAGGTAATGACTCTGTATGTTGGGAAAGTACTGGTTAAAGTTTCCCTGATTAAAGTTAATGCATCCAAATTACTTATTTTAGTACATATTAAAACAGCACATTTACACATGGGAGAAGATGGAATCTGCAAATGTTTGAAAAATGAATTTGTTCTCAAACGTGTAGTTAGTTTTGTTGTTAGTGTTTCATCAGCTGAGCATGTCTAGCAGTAATAACCATTATATAAATGTGTATGTGAATGGCCCAGAGGAACCTTCCAAGGCGAGCAAACACCAGACTCAGGCTCAAGGAGAAGACATTTCAGACATAGAGCACCTGCTGGATGATCAGCCCATCAGTGAGTTCACTCTGTTCATGTGCGTTGCTGTGTGCACTTGTTTTTCTTTGTCGTTACTTTGTACTTTAAATCGCATCTTTTCCTTTTAGCTCCAAAGTCGAAGCGGCAGAAGCAGGATCAGGGTGTGGTCAAGCGACTTTTCAACACGTCACAAACTCAAGAGAACAAAGTCCCATCGCAGAATGCTGACGTCACACCTCCATCCTCTCCAGAGCAGTATGAACCATCTCACACCTTCAGGTAGGGGAGAGGGATGATGGAGATTAGGAATTCAGATAGCTGTTAGCTGTCAAATAGAGTTTTGCTTGTTATAAGCAATTTAAAAACCTGACTTTGCCGATTGGAATCTTCTAAACTATGTTTGTTTTCTAGGTCTACTCCTGCTGTGTTGGACATCAGTGGCTTTGCTACTATCCCAGAGTCGCCCAGACGACCTCCCACAGCGGTGCCAGCGTCATTGTGTGTGTTGAAGCGACCTCCTTTAGAGGGAGAGTACATCAGTGTAACAGACTCATCAGGGAGTCGGGTCTACCTCAGACAGAAAGAGGAATCAGGGACAAAGGTTAAACTCCTCAGCAATCACACAAACGCAGTTACACACAAACCCCTCATAGTACCTCGTCATAAAACACTGATTAACTCTCACAAACCTCTGGTGTCCAATATATATTAATTTCTCACCTGTGTGTTGCTCCAGGTAGTGGATACCAGAGTGGCACCAAACTCCCAGGGTGCACTGGGGCTGCTGGCAGTGCCAATAAGTGTGCTGAGAGAGCAAGAAGCTGAGAGGGTGAGTAATGCAGTGTTGTTGTATGTGTATTATCTGTGATGTAGTTTGCACTGCATCACACATTTGATTCTTATTGGTCACAGTTGCGAAATGTTCATTAGTTTCCCTGATTAATTAATTAATATTTTCAATTAAAGACCAGAGTTTATATGTATATCTATTTCATTTTTATTGATATTATAAAGAGGACGTGTCTTCTTTTTGAGACCAAAAAAAACTGTACAAATAATTAATTGTATATAAGTCATCTACCTTTTCAATGTACTTCGATCATTTTAATTAAAAAACTTCTATATTTTTCCACATGTTTTCCTTCCTTTGTTTTAAATCACAGCGTCATCAGCAGATTGTGGAGGAATCTCAGCGCCTCACAGAGCTGCTGGCCAGGTAGCACCACCTCTTTTATTTCAAATACACACACACAAGATGAATATGAATACATTAATTTCTTGCTGTTTCTGTTCAATTACAGCAGTGTGAACGATGGGCTTGTTGAGGCTGAAAGCAGAGAAGATGAGGAGAATGAAGATCCTGAAGACACAGAAGGGCGAAGCTCACGTCTCTGGGTGGACAGATTTTCTCCCCGACACTACACAGAGCTTCTCAGTGATGATGTAAGTTGTGTTGTGTTCAGCAGAACATGTCTGTGTTTGTAAGTAAATGAAAAGCGTTTACACATAAATCTAAGTCTTTTTCTGGACACTGCTTGAACACCAGATGTGTGTGACTGCTTTGTTTCAGTTTACCAACCGCTGTCTGCTCAAGTGGCTGAAACTTTGGGACACTGTTGTGTTTGGAAGAGAGAGGAAGTCCCGCCCTGTCCGCTCTGACAGACAGGCTGCCCACCAACACTCGTTCAAACCCAACCAAGGCAACCAGAATCCAAATCGCTTCAAGACCAAGATAGAGATGACTGAGGAGATACTGGAGGCTGAACTCGATCAGTACAAACGACCCAAATACAAGGTTGAACATCTGCATAATCGTGTCAGTAGAATCACCTTCAGTTGTTATAGAATTTACTTAATTCTCTTTGTCCCTCTCTAGGTGACATTGTTGTCTGGTCCTCCAGGTTTGGGGAAGACCACTCTGGCTCATGTTATCGCCAAACACGCAGGATACAATGTCGTGGAAATCAATGCCAGGTTAGAAAACTAAATCAGCACTTAACATTACAATGCCAGTAACTTAACAAGAATCAGTTTCGCTGTAATCTTCCTGTAGTGACTCCAGTGGTATGGTTCATGTTTTTACAGTGATGACCGCAGTGCAGAGGTTTTCCAGAAACGCATCGACACAGCAACTCAGATGAAGTCAGTGCTGGGAGCCAGTGAGAGACCAAACTGTCTCATTATTGATGAGATCGATGGAGCACCAGCGGTACGATCAGGGCACCAGCAA